GGGTATTGAACTCACGCTCTGGGTTTTGTCTTTGGATATAACTAACGCCTTTATCCACTGAGCCATGTGTCCTTGTGTATGAATTTCTGGGTATTATTAACCTAATATCTTGAGCAACCATTTTTTTTTTTGCCAGTGCTCATATTCCAATTTTTGCTGTTAACATTGCGTGTTTTTACCAGATCTCATATTGCATTTTTTGTTGTTATTATCGCTTTTTCTGGCACTCCTTATTACTGCTCCCATATTGTATTCATTTCCATGCTTGGTCTGCTCAGGAGATTTTTGTGGCCTACCATATGTGCTGATTCCTTAAGTTTACGAATTTTCCAATGGTGTTCTTCGTCTATAATCTCAACCTGATCCCACAGAGGGCGGTGATCTCCCTTCTCTCTCCATATGTGGTCAGCCACGCCTGATTTTCCCATTTCCCTTGTGTTACAGATTTCTGGTGTTCTTGAAGCCTTACCTTAAGGGGGCGTCCTGTCTCCCCTTTATATTTCTTTCCGCAGCTGCACGGGATAGCGTACACGCAGTCCTTAGTCATGTTCTCCTCTATGGGGTGTCTTACTCGGAAGAGATATCTGCAAAGTGTCATCAAGCTTTTGAAGGTTGTCCTGATGTTGTATGGACCGCAGATCCTTTGTATTTTCTCTGATAACCCCTTCACATAAGGCAGGCAGACTGTTTTCTGAGTGTTGTTGTCCTCCTCCTCTTGTACCCGCCTATCCCAGTTTTTTGTGGCTGCTGCCATATACCCAGGGTAGTTGTTACATTGTAGGGTACTACTTATACTGACCAATTCTTTATCTAATGTCTCTGGGTTGCCACTTATGACTTTTGCTCGGTGTTGTAAGCAGCGGACGATCCCTTTCTTTACGCTGTATGGATGGTGGGAGTTGAAATTGAGGTATTGTCCGATGAATGTCGGTTTACGGTATACGGATGCCTTGAACCCATGTTCTGTTCGAGATATTAGAACATCCAGGAATGGGAGTGTGTTGTTACTCTCTTTCTCCATCGTGAACTGTATCATAGGTTTTATAGAGTTCAAATGGTCCAGTAGAACTTGAACATCTTCCTGGTGTAGCCAGAGTATGAAGGTGTCATCTACGTACCTTAACCATATAGTTGGTTTTAGAGATATAGATTCTAATGCCATTTCCTCAAATTATTCAATGTATATATTCGCCATTGCTGGTGATAAACCCTCATCCTGTCGATATATGTGTGATCCCATTCCGAAGTGTGTTGTTTGTGTACAGAAAGTCAACATCTCCATCAGATTATCTATTGGAATACTGGTCCGCTCCTCTAGGGAAGAGCCTGAGGTCAATCTATCTACTGAGAGTGCCTCCTCCATTGGTACCTTGGTGAACAAACTCATCACATCCAAGCTCACGATCTGGTTGGATAGGATTGGAGCATCTTTGATTATTTCCACGAAGTGGGCGGAGTTTCGGACATATTAAGGAGACTTTGCGATCAATGGGTCGATTATATCTATAAGGAAGCGACTCAGAGGGTGGCACACCGAGCCTTGGCAACTAACAATCAGCCTAAGCGGAATACCGTCTTTTTGAATCTTAGGGAGACCGTACATGTGAGGTAGCTTGGTGTAACGATGCGATAACTGCCTATACGTCTTAGGTGCGAAGTAATCCTTGTTCTTGATTACGATCTGTGATAGTTTGCGTTGCGTTTTCATACATTGTAATAAATATGGGGACAAAGATGAGGACTATAGTCCGAATAATGTAAATAATATATATATATATATATATATATATATATATATAATATATATATATAAATATAATAAATAAAAGGTAAAAACAACAGAAGAAATTGCAATCTATCAAAGAGAAACTATAAATTAAAGAATTTGGAAGGTTAATAATCTAATAAATAAAAGAAATTAAATTTTTCAAATTAACTCGTGCGGACACACACACACACACACACACACACACACACACACACACACACATATATATATATATATATATATATATATATATATATATATATATATATATATATATACCTTCAGGCTATACGTTGTATTTTGGATCGACTGTTTATATATGTTTGTCAATTTTGCCTTAGGAGTAGGCGTGCTAAATTATTCTAATGCTTTTTGGGGAAGGGGCGGGTAACGGTTATATTTCAAAGAAGCTATTGAGTACAAATAATTGTGGATTCGAATGCAGTCGATATTTTATGGTGTAGTTTGTTAATTTTTTAATTCATTATTCATTTTAGATCACTTTATTATTTGTTACTGATTATTATTTACATTTATTTGTATTTATGCGTACAATCGTAGTTTGTTAATTTGCTCATTATTTAGTTAATTTGTTTGCTTATTTATTGAATTAGGTTATTTATCCTGCTTATTTATTTTTATTTTATTTTATCTTTATTTATTTTTTTTAGTAACGTAGTAAAATTTGTTTTCATGTTTGCATTTTGTGATAACTTCTGATTGTTTATTTAGTAATTTGTGTTGGTCTGGGAAGGTAATTATAGCTATTTTCTCCTCCAGACAGAAGTTACAGTTTTTGGATTTGCTGTAGGTTGATTCGGTTTTCCTTATTTTCCATGACATTTTTGGTGTGATTTGTTTTTTTTTTTAATTTCCCAGATATGTTTAGAAAGCATTATGTTATTCGCGTATTTATTATTTGTAAATAAGGTTTTTTTGCATGTAGTTTCTTTATTTACAGGGTCTTTCAGTAACTCCTATGTATATTTTTTCGTTATCTGCTGATTTTAAAGTATCTTGGTATATTGCATTGTTTTACAAGCAATTGCCGTTTAAGGGACATTCGTTATTTGCAATGTTTCTGTATGGTTGATATGTACCTTTCCTTATGTTGAATTTCACATCTAGGAAATCTCATTCTTTTTTGTTAGTTTTTATGTCAAAGTAAGGAAAATCTTGGTAATCCGTATGGATAATCCCAAGGAGGATGAAATCCTGAGAGCACAATGTTAATTCAGAGCTACTAATTTAAAGAAAGTGGTGTCTGAAGATCCAGGGAATTGAATGTGATGTCTGAAGATCCAGAGAATATTTAAAGCCCCTGGTGAAATAAACTATTACAATGGAGCCTTAAAGTGATTTGTTTTCTTTAATATATATATATATATATATATATATATATATATATATAGTCAGATAGACTGTTTCTGCTGTATCACAGCTCCTCAGTGTGGCTAGACGTCCGATTGCTTCATGCCGGGATCGAAACCCGACTAATTTGACATCAGTCAGATATCTCTAGTCTATCTCTATCTATCTAGTCTCTCTCTCTCTCTCTCTCTCTCTCTCTATATATATATATATATATATATATATATATATATATATATATATATATATATATATATATATATATACTCCTGAAAAATTTATTTCAATTGAGCTCTCTGGGAAGGAAGTGTGGATTTCAGTGACTATTACGGCTAATAATGCAAGACTCTTCAGTAAATCGAATCGTTCTCTCAGTCACTGTGTTTATCTAAAAATAAATACGCTTAAATTCACCTTCATCCCTGCTGTGCGCCAACAGCTTAGTGATAGAATCCCCGACTAACGCCAATTCAGTCGGGTTTCGATCCTAGCTAGAGGCAACCGGACGTCTAGCCACACAGATATCACAGTTATATTAGCAAACTGATTAGCATGCTTGTGTCACTACGCGTTACGTGAACAATAACTTAATGTCATCGTTAACCTCATCCAATGTTTAATTAAAAAATAATGGTTGTGACATCAAACCATTTTTCGAACATTTCTCTGTCGAAGTCCGATGCTAAGTATAGTGAGTTCGATCCTCATTATACGCCTACTGCTGTTAACCTCCGTCAGATTAACAGAATAAAACAAGGCTAAATAACCTGGAGGTGGTACAATATTTCATTATGACTTTAAAAGGCACATATCAGAAGCAAATGAGGAGAAAGATTAAGAATAAGCTAAAAAAATATTCCTCATCGTAAAGCGTTGAAACAAAAAGAAACAAAAAACGCTAAGCATTTATCGCTCCTCGCTCTTCAGAGTTCAATCGAGGACAAAACATATAAATACGTGCAACGAATAAAAAAGGTCAAAGAAAAATATTATTCAGCAATATTGACAGATTATATTTAGACTCAACAACCATTTCTTCCGGTCGCTGAGTTTAAATAAAGCAAAATTAGATTGATAATTTTTTGTATATTGCTTATTCCAGATTTGATATTTATTCGGCTTTAGTCGATTTTAACTTAAGGTCGAAAGCCGTGACCTACAAGTAACCATATTTTTACGTTTGGTCATCCCGCCAATCATTTGCTGAAACTGAATCTTTCTCAGAATGCAATACGTTAGATTGGTTCTCTGATAAACATGGCAAGTACTCATAAATAAATCACTAAACTAAGTCAAGCAGCGTTTAGGGAGAACTAAATTAGGTTTGGTCCGGTTAGAAATGGCTCATCAGGCCAGCTTGCTAACAACTTCGCTATACCCTGATCGCTCAAAAAAGGAAAAGAGAAAACTTTGGAAATGAAATTTGAAACTAAATGCTGGCAAATTAGATAAATACGCAGGCAAAAAAAAAAAAAGAAAAAGAAAAAAAAAGAACACAAATTCCTAAAGTAAATCGCAGCGGGTGAACTGTACACGGACACTAAAGCAAAAATCTGAAAAATAAATTTTAAGCACAAAACGTAAACATAAAAATATTGTTTTTTTTTTTTTTCTAAAAGCGGACAAGAAAAATAAAATGAAAAAATTAACGAGAAAATTCACCATTTTTGGAAAACGCAAAGATATAAGCAAAGCAAAAACTAAACGAATGCACAGCTGAAAATGCAAAAAGGAAAACCAAAAATGTCACTAAATTAAGAAAAAAATAGAAATCGAAAAGATGCAAGCATAAAGTTGAACATAAAAAATTGAAAAGTCAAACAGAGAACGGGTTTCGCAATGCATCATGGACTCGAGGTGACTACATTGAGAAGAAGGTTTTTGCTTGTGATATTATTTGAGAAAGATCGGAAAAGAGAGAAGAAAATATAAGAAAGGATGAAGTGAATTTTAGGAAGAGAGAAAGAAATATAAGAAGAACTAAAGAGTGAAGGTGAAGGAAGAGAGAAAAAAATGAAAAGAGAGTGAGGTGCAAAAGAAGAAAGAAGAGTAAAGAGAACGATGCGTTCACAGATATAGAAAAAGAGAACAAAACGAGAGAGAAAGAGAGAAGGGGGAGAAGAAGAAGAGGAGGAGAGAAATATGACAGGGAAAGTAAAATCCAAACAGAAATCTGTGTCATGAAGAAAAGAACCGGAAATATTACATGGAATATGCTTATGCAATATTCAATCTGTGTGTATGTGTGAGAAAGTGATATGAAGAGAGAGAGAGAGAGAGAGAGAGAGAGAGAGAGAGAGAGAGCGAGAGAGAGAGAGCGAGAGAGAGAGAGAGAGGAAATATTAGAAAGTGAAATAAAGAGGGGTAAGAAGAGGGAAGAACGAACAAAAGCAAGCGACAAAGAAAACGTCTAAAGAGATCGGAGAAAGACAGCAAGAAAAAGACTAGTTGTAAATAAAAGAAAATAAAGAGGAAAGAAATATGTTCAATTCATGATTTAGGAGTAGAAGGGTGATAATAGAAAAAGAGAAACGTTTAAAGAGAGAATAAGCGGTGATTGGGGTGGGGAGGTAAAAGGAAACAGGCAAGAAGATCGGAAAATCAAAAAAAGAAAGAAAGAAAGAACGAAAGCGAAAAAAGGAGAAGAAGGTCGAAAATCCAAAAAGGCAAAATTGATGAACGAAATGAACTGAACGCCTATTTTAACGCAATGATTAACAAATCTCGCTTATGTAGTGTGTTCGATCTTTACGGAGAACGAGGTTATTAATGCCAAGTAAATAAACATTTGAATTCGTAAAAGTGGTTAAGGTAGTTGCGACTTATCTATGATAGATTTAAAGAGAAGATCAAGGAAGACGAAAAGATTTCAGGCAAATATCTAGGGAGATAAAGGCTAAAATATTTCGATAGAGGAGAGAAAGTGTGTTTAGAGAGTGGAAGAGAACGAAGACTATATAAAGAGAGGAAGAGTGTCTTGAAAAAGGAAGAGAAAATAGACTATTTAGTGAGAGGAAGAGTGTTTCTGGAAAGGAAGAAAAGTAGAATATTTAGGGAGAGGAAGTGAGTTTCTGGAAAGGAAGCGGAAGTAGAATATTTAGGGAGAGGAAGAGTGTTTCTGGAAAGGAACAGAAAGTAGAATGTTTAGGGAGAGTAAGAGTTTTTCTAAAAAGGAAGAGAAAGTAGAATATTTAGGGAGAGGAAATTGTCTCGGGAATGGAACAGAAATAGTATTTACTGAGAGGAAGCGTGTTTTGGGAAAGGAAGAGGGAGTAGAATATTTAGGGAGAGGAAAAGAGTTTCTGGAAAGGAAGAGAAAGTAGAATATTTAGGGAGAGGAAGAGTGTTTCTGGAAAGGAAGAGAAAGAATATTTAGGGAGAGGTAGAGTGTTTCGGGAAAGGAAGATAAAGTAGAATATTTAGTTAGAATAAGAGTGTTTCTGGAAAGGAAGAGAAAGTAGAATATTTAGGGAGAGGAAGAGTGTTTCTAGAAAGGAAGAGAAAGTAGAATATTTAGGGAGAGGAAGAGTGTTTCGGGAAAGGAACAGAAAGAATATTTACTGAGAGGAAGCGTGTTTTGGGAAGGGAAGAGAGAGTAGATTATTTAGGGTGAGGAAAAGAGTTTCTGGAAAGGAAGAGAGAGTAGAATGTTTAGGGGCAGTAAGAGTGTTTCTAAAAAGGAAGAAAAAGTAGAATTTGTAGGGAGAGGAAGTGTGTTTCGGGAAAGGAACAGAAATAATATTTACTGAGAGGAAGAATGTTTTGGGAAGGGAAGAGAGAGTAGACTATTTAGGGAGAGGAAAAGAGTTTCTGGAAAGGAAGAGAAAGTAGAATGTTTAGGGAGAGTAAGAGTTTTTCTAAAAAGGAAGAGAAAGTAGAATATTTAGTGAGAATGAAGAGTGTTTCTAGAAAGGAAGAGAAAGTAGAATATTTACAGAGAGGAAGATTGTTTCGGGAAAGGAACAGAAAGAATATTTAGGGAGAGGAAGCGTGTTTTGGGAAGGGAAAAGAGAGTAGATTATTTAGGGAGAGAAAAAGATTTTCTGAAAAGGAAGAGGGAGTAGAATGTTTAGGGAGAGTAAGAGTGTTTCAAAAAGAAAGAGAAAGTAGAATATTGAGGGAGAGGAAGAGTCTTTCTAGAAAGGAAGAGAAAGTAGAATATTTAGGCAGAGGAAGAGTGTTTCTGGAAAGGAAGAGAAAGTAGAATATTTAGGGAGAGGAAGATTGTTTCGGGAAAGGAACAGAGAGAATATTTAGGGAGAGGAAGAGGGTTTCGGGTAAGGAAGAGAAAGTAGAATATTTAGAAAGTGGAAGAGTGTTTCTGGAAAGGAAGAGAAAGTAGAATATTTAAGGAGAGGAAGAATATTTTGGGAAAGGGAAGAGAAAGTAGAATATTTAGGGAGAGGAAATTGTCTCGGGAATGGAACAGAAATAATATTTACTGAGAGGAAGCGTGTTTTGGGAAAGGAAGAGGGAGTAGAATATTTAGGGAGAGGAAAAGAGTTTCTGGAAAGGAAGAGAAAGTAGAATGTTTAGGGAGAGGTAGAGTGTTTCGGGAAAGGAAGAGAAAGTAGAATATTTAGGGAGAGGAAGATTGTTTCGGGAAAGGAAGAGAAAGTAGAATATTTAGGTAGAGGAAGAGTGTTTCTGGAAAGGAAGAGAAAGTAGAATATTTAGGGGAGGAAGATTGTTTCAGAAGGAACATAAATAATATTTACTGGAGGAAGCGTGTTTGGGAAGGAAGAGAGTAGACTATTTAAGGAATAAAGAGTTTCTGGAAAGGAAGAGAGAGGATGTTTCTGGAAAGAGTGTTTCTAAAAGGAAGAAAAAAGTAGAATATTTAGGGGAGGGGAAGAAGTGTTTTCGGGAAAGAGAAAGTAGAATATTTAGGGAGAGGAAAAATAACAGAATTTACTGAGGAGGAAGCGTGTTTTAGAATATTTAGGGAGAGGGAAAAGAGTTTCTGGAAAGGAAGAGAAAGTAGAATGTTTAGGGAGAGGTAGAGTGTTTCAGGAAAATAAGGTAAATAGAATATTTGGGTAGAATAAGAGTTTTCTGGAAAAGGAAGAGGAGAATATTTAGAGAGAGAAAATGTTTCTGAAACGAAAGGAGAATATTTAGGTAGAGGAAGAGTGTTTCTGGAAAGGAAAAAAGTAGAATATTTAGGGAGAGGAAGGAAGAGAAAGTAGAATATTTAGGTAGAGGGAAGAGTGTTTCTGGAAAAAGAGAAAAGTAGAATATTTAGGGAGAGGAAGAGTGTTTTCGGGAAAGGAACATAAATAATATTTACTGAGAGGAAGCGTGTTTTGGGGGGAAGAGAGAGAGTGAGAGGAAAGAGTTTCTGGAAAGGAAAGAGAGTAGGATGTTTAGTGAGAGTAAGAGTAAAAAGGAAGAAAAAGTAGAATTTGTAGGGAGAGGAAGAGTGTTTCGGGAAAGGAAGAGAAAGTAGAATATTTAGGGAGAGGAAGAGTGTTTCGGGAAAGGAACATAAATAATATTTACTGAGAGGAAGCGTGTTTTGGGAAGGGAAGAGAGAGTAGACTATTTAAGGAGAGGAAAAGAGTTTCTGGAAAGGAAGAGAGAGTAGAATGTTTAGGGGCAGTAAGAGTGCTTCTAAAAAGGAAGAAAAAGTAGAATTTGTAGGGAGAGGAAGTGTGTTTCGGGAAAGGAACAGAAATAATATTTACTGAGAGGAAGAATGTTTTGGGTAGGGAAGAGAGAGTAGACTATTTAGGGAGAGGAAAAGAGTTTCTGGAAAGGAAGAGAAAGTAGAATGTTTAGGGAGAGTAAGAGTTTTTTCTAAAAAGGAAGAGAAAAGTAGAATGTTGGTGAGAATGAAGAGTGTTTCTAGAAAGGAAGAGAAAGTAGAATATTTACGGAGAGGAAGATTGTTTCGGGAAAGGAACAGAAAGAATATTTAGGGAGAGGTAGAGTGTTTCGGGAAAGGAAGGTAAAATAGAATATTTAGGTAGAATAAGAGTGTTTCTGGAAAGGAAGAGAAAGTAGAATATTTAGGGAGAGGAAAATTGTTTCTTGAAACGAAGAGAAATTAGAATATTTAGGAAGAGGAAGACTGTTTCTGGAAAGGAAGAGAAAGTAGAATATTTAGGGAGAGGAAGATTGTTTCGGGAAAGGAACAGAAAGAATATTTAGGGAGAGGAAAAGGGTTTCGGGAAAGGAAGAGAAAGTAGAATATTGAGGGAGAGGAAAAATGTTTCTTGAAACGAAGAGAAATTAGAATATTTAGGGAGAGGAAGAGTGTTTCTAGAAAGGAAGAGAAATTAGAATATTTATGCAGAGGAAGATTGTTTCGGGAAAGGAACACAAAGAATGTTTAGGGAGAGGAAGAGGGTTTCGGGTAAGGAAGAGAAAGTAGAATATTTAGGGAGAGGAAGAATATTTTGGGAAAGGGAAGAGAAAGTAGAATATTTAGGCAGAGGAAGTGTGTTTCTAGAAAGGAAGCGAAAGTAGATTATTTAAGGAGAGGAACAGTGTTTCGGGAATGGATGAGTAATTAGAATATTTAGGGAGAGGAAATGTGTTTCTAGAAACGAAGAGAATGTAGTATATTAAGGGAGAGGAAGAGTGTTTTTGGAAAGGAAGAGAGATAGTCTATTTAGGGAGAGAGAGTGTGTTTCTGGAAAGGAAAAATAAATAGTATATTTAGGGAGAGCAATAGTGTTTCGGGAATGGAAGATTAAGCAGAATATTTAAGGAGAGGAAGAGTATTTCGGGAAAGGAACAGAAAGAATATTTAGGCAGAGGAAGAGTGTTTTGGGAAAGAAAGAGTGATTAGACTATTTTTGGAGAGGTAGAGTGTTTCTGAAAAGGAAGAGTTAGTACAATATTTAGCGAGAGGAATAGTCTTTCTGGAAACGAAGAGAAAGTAGGATATTTAGGAAAAGAAGAGTGTTTCGAGAAAGGAAGAGAAAGTAGAATATTAAGGGGGAGGAAGTGTGCTTCGGGAAATGAATCGAAAGTAGAATATTTAGGGAGAGGAAGTGTTTCTAGAAAGGAAGAGAAAGTAGAATATTTAGGGAGAGGAAGAGTCTTTCTGGAAAGGAAGAGAAAATAGAATATTTAGGGAGAGGGTTTAGTGTTTCGAGAAAGTAAGAGAAAGTAGAATATTTAGGAAGAGGAAGGTAAGAGTTTTTTTTTTAGGACGGAGAAGAGAAAAGAGTTTTTTTTTGTTTTTTTTTTTTAGCGTTAGGGTTATGGAATGCAAGAATAGAGTGTTTTTCGGAAGAGAAGAGAACGTAGAATATTTCAGCAGAGGAGGAGAAATGTGTTTCCGGATAGGAAAACATAGTTTCTTGAGGTGATGTTATCATTTACTAAATTATTAGTTTGACACACGGTAGTGATATTTACCAAACAACACTTCCCAGGATGAACACGTAAAATTGACTCGAATGGCAATGAAGAACGATATGATCTTTAGGAAGCTGTTTTTTTTGTTTTTAATCTTCTTGAAATATCGGGATGAATTCATAAGCATGGCTGCCAAGGAAACGGCTCCAACCGAGATTCGTATGAAGGAGCTTAATAAACAGAGAATTTAAAAAGTTGACAAATAGAAAATCGAGTATAAATGATTACGAACAGAAAAGAACGCCAGCTACACGCAGGTAGAATATGAAAGTGGGGTCAGGACGGTAAAAAAGAAGTGTTAGGAGGGAGAATGAGAGAGAGAGACGGTGAGATGTTGTTAAAATTTGAAGCGGGTCAGAATGGAGAAAAAATTGGACTCGTTTTAGAGAAATCGGTAGAGCGAAATAGAACTGATGAGTTGAGTTTGAAAGTGGCAAGATGTAGAAAGAGTCATAGGAAAGAGATGGAGAGGGAGAGAGATAGAGATAGAGAGAAAGAGAGTGAGTGAAAGCGAGAGTTGTTGTGAGTAAATGGTTTAGCACGGCCGTAGTATTAGTAGATGACATCGATTTCTAAGAAATTATTTTGTTGCGTACGTCTGACAAACGAAGTAAAAGAAGAAAAAAATGGCGGAAGAGCGAAAGATTGAAGAAATGAAGAGACGGACGAATGAAAAAGGAAGGAGAAAATATCAGTGGGTAGAGCAGAGAAAGCAAAGTCGAAGAAACAATTATGCAAGCACTTGGGAACACACACACACACACACACACACACACACACACACACACACACACACACGTGCGCAAACACACACACTCACTCTCACAAATGGGTATAATCAGACATACTTCGCCGTACAGTCGTATATAAAAAGATTAACTCTAATCTGAGTTGAACAGAGTTTCTTGCGTTTATTCCTTAGCAGCCAAATTGTCAATTACATTTTTTTCGCAAATCTCTTTTTGTGGAATTCTTAAAGCAACTTATTTCTCGTTTTTATCTTACCAACGTTTTGAATTTGTTATTTGATTTCTGTCCAATATTTTATTCCATTCGCTCAAGAATATTACAATATCTTGTATCGCTTTTGAGTTTCTGTTTTTCTCACAACTTAAAGCAATCTTTATAATACTGAAGTTTAAAAAAATATCATAAACTAAACTAATACTGAGCAATCCAATCGACACGAAATAACTGTAGACAAAAACGACATATATTTTTATATTGAATGTCGGTACATGCTTCGAAATTTCTGTTCCTTTCATCAGCCCAAAAATTATATTGATTTAATTATGTTCAAATATCGAAAATACAACAAATACAAATCGTTTTTCACTTCACAAGTGAAAAATTAATTTTCAGATGAACACAACAATTTTTGACTTAGAAAAAATAACGCCCTGATGATGACATTATGCTGATGTCGAAAGTACTCGGAATAAATAAATATGTATCAACATGGTAATTTTCTCTCTTCCTTTAATAAAGATACTAAGAACCTTGTCTGTGAATATGAGAGGATCCTATTGAAAAAAAAATAGACAAAACTTGTCGAAATTATTCGCTAAGACACACACACACATATACACACATATATATACACACATATACACACACATATACATACATATACACACACATCGCAAGATTTTCCAAATTAATGTGTGTAAATACAAAAAAACGCGCTAAAAATTATCTATGTTATTTACTACCCCTTGTTGCGACAAAGAGAAACAAGGTTTTTTAAATCAAAATTTAGAATATTCTAAAAAGATGGAAATTTTTTTAAAAATAATTAAAAAAAAATTAGTCTATCCTCTTCATACAAACATAAGCATTTTGACGATAAAATTTTGTTTTCATAAACTTTGGCGTCTTTTTCATCAGACTATGCTCTATGTTTTAGCGATTCCGTGGAGTGACTTAGGTTAAAAAACCCAGGTTGTGTGTGTGTGTGTTCCTTTATATATGGGATCGGATTTCTTACATTTTTCAGCCGATAAAACAAACATCCACTTTTTTTTTTGGGCAGGTAGTATTTCTTATTGTCTTGCACACTTTTTTCTTTACATTCAGAATGCTTTAAAAATTCCATTTACAAGACAATTGTTTATAATAAAATTCTATTCAATCGATAGAATCATAACGATTGTAGACAATGTTTTTGTTTGAATTTGGCTTTGACCAATTCGTAAAAAAAAAAAATAATTAAGACATGCGTGTCCGTCAACCTTAATACTCTTTGTCAATTTTATTTTTCAGTCTTTATGATGGTCGATACTTGATCTATCTCTTACTGTTACATCCCCGGGCAACGCCGGGCTCTACTGCTAGTATATATATATATATATATATATATATATATATATATATATATATATATATATATATATAAATTTCAAAGGACAGAATCCAGGTAGAACTCAATGTCCAGGACAGAGTAAGAATATAATATAAAAGACTCAAACACTAATATTCCATGGTTATAATTTATTACAATTACATTAAATTTGTCGGTCTGATGAATTGGATCGTGATTACGATTCCAATGTAATAAATTATAACCATGGAATGAATATTATATATATATATATATATATATATATATATATATATATATATATATATATATATATATATATATAGTTTGAGTTTGATGTTATCATTATTTAAACGCGGACTAAGTTCTTATTTTTATGGCTTTGAAAATTGTATAATTTGGACCAATCAGATTAGCCATGGTAATTAAGAAATGTAATTTTTGTGTTTATAGTCGGACAGTAATTATCAAGTACGGAAGACCAACCAGAAGACAATTTAGTTGCTTTATTTGAGTTCAGCATTGTTCTCCGCTGTTAAGCCCTTTACTTTTGCGAAACACGTATGGAGAAGTTAATTTGAGTTTTCAATTTCAACTGAGAAGGGTACCTACAAGTAACAGTATCATCTTATGAAATTTAACTACTGCTAAACTTTAATTTATATGATCTTATTTTTTATATTAATCTCAGTTATGACATTTTTCCATAAATGAAATATCAAAATTAATAATAAAATGAATGGAAATACAAATAACACAGTAAAATGTAATAAATGTACATAAAATTATATTATTTTATGTACACTTCTGATAAAATTTCATAAGAAAGGTACCAAAATTAATTAGATACCTTTTTCTTATGAAATTTAATCTCACTATTAACGGTCTTATTTTTTAATTTCTTTATATTTTCCATAAAGCATCGTAAACGTAAAAATGAAAGCTAAGTACAAAAAAAAAAAAAAAAAAAAAAAAAAAATGAAAAATTAGAGCGCTGAAAGTTTTCCTTAAAAGTAACAAGGTAAATAATTTGTTCACCTAAATAATTTCACTTCCTTCCATCCGTAGAAAGAATTATCCTCCCGTAAGTTATCTAAACGTCATGAATGTGCCTTTCGTCAATCGTCAAGCGACGCGAAAGGTTATGACCTGCTTTGTTTTATTTTCAAATTACATTTTTTCGGCGCAGAAGCAAAGTTAAGCTTGGTTCAAAATATTTTAAATAAACAGTATAATTTCTGTTTTTATTAAAATCAGTTTTGAAAAAATGATAATTGATTTTTAAAAGAATATCAAAATAAGATTTTAATCTTTTTTATCAAATCGAAAAAAATGATTGATTATCTGTCCTTTTTTTGACCAAAAAAAAAACAATATTTTTAACGAAAATTTCAGACGTGCTAGGAACGATTAAAAATGTAAAAAAATACCCCCAAAATACTTTGATCTTTCCTCTTTAATAATAATATGAACATTAGACGATAAAATTTTGTTTTCGTCAAGTTCGGCGTCTTTTTCATCATGCTATACTCTTTTGTTCACATTTTCGTGGGTGAGTTGTCCCCCTTTCATTCTCACGATGTGTCTTAATCGTGTTTTCAAATTGATTTTATTAAAAAAACAACTGTGTTTTTCCCATTTTCGGTCCCGTTAGAACCACCACAAGGTAATTTTATGTAGTTCCGTGAAGTTTTGTTGAAATCGGCTAAAAAATGTAGGAAATTTGATCCAACATATAAGCGTTACATACACACACACACACACACACACACACACACACACACACACACATCTGCGTTTTATAATAAGTAAGATATATATATATATATATATATATATATATACACACACATTATTTACATTATTCGAACTATTGTCCTCATCTTTGTCGCCATATTTATCACAACGTTTCGGACGTTGTACGCTCCAGCCTTCTTCAGGTGGTTGGAATGTCGAACTGAACCCTTTATTTCGCTCACTGGGGTAGACTGTTCTAGTTCGATCTGCCATGTTTGATGGATGTCAGTTATCAGTTATCTCCTTTTAATTTCCCTCTGAAAGTTCTCCGTTGCCTTAACTGGGTATTGAACTCACTCTCTTTGGGTTCTGTCACTGGATCTAACCAACTCCTTTATCCACTGTGCCATGTGTACTTGAGGACATTTACCCGCTGAAGACGTATTTGATGACCTTGAGAGAAGAGCGTGTCGTGTTAATCAACCAATAAATTTACATTTGTTCATTCCGATGAAAATCGCCCACACGTAATCGGCGACAGCAAAACAAAACTTTTCGAAATTTTGATGAAAGTCCTAAAACATCCTAAACCTAAAAATGATCTGAAATAAATGAGAAAAAATACAAAATGTTATAAACAACGTATCACATGAATAAGAAAGAATAAAATTTGATTAATTTTTATTAATCATTATTTTATTTATTTAGTGACGTCCAATTTGAACTTTGCCACGAGTAATAGACTCAGCTAAAGGTTGGAAAATATAGAAAATGGAAAATAGTAACATGAAAATGCCGAGAAAAAAAGAAGAAAATTTAAACCATTTAAAAAATTTCGCAAATCTTAGCAGTCGAATTGGTTCCAATGTTATAAAAGTTCCAGCATAATTGCCCAACAGAACAGGAATTCAATAAACTTCACACTTTATTTGAACAATTCCATATGACATAAACAATTTTCTACTATTTCACGTGGTAACCGACTTAATCATATGCCGTCTGTTTCGATTAGCGAAAGATTATGCTAATCTTGCTGAAAATAAAGGAAATAAAGAAAAACCATTATTAACACACACACACACACACACACACACACACACACACACACACACACACACACACACACAGAGTGAAACCGACGGTCACAAACTCATATCCGTGCAATTATATATATATATATATATATATATATGTGTGTGTGTGTGTAAGCAGCAAAGGATATGCTGCATAACAGCACTTTAAACACAGTGCTACTTCAACTTAATACATTTGACTATAATTTCAGCAGAGAAAATGATTCACTAAGAATCAAATGCATTGAAAGTGCAGTAATCTCACAATTCTGGAAAATAAACCTGACGTTAGGACCATACATAATATATTGCTGCATGTTTATTTAGTGACATTTTTACAGCAACATCGGTCGTGGTAGTTGATTTTGTCTAGTGGCATATCAACCTCTATGGTCTATTTAATGTCGAAATCTAAATATTTTACGGGTTCAACTAA